GAGGTGGAAGCAGCCTAAATGTCCATTAAGAGATGAATAGGTAAAGAAAATAAAAAATAAAGAATGGAATATTATTCAGTCTTGAAAAAGAAGGAAATCCTGTCACATGCCACACCATGGATGGAACTTGAGGACATGCTAAGTGAAATGTCAGTCACAAAAAGACAAGCACTGCATGATTCCACTTTTACGGGGTATCTAAAATAGCCAAACTCTTAGGAACAAAAAGTAGGATAGTGGGTTGCCAGCGTTTCAGGGGAGGGAGAGAAGGTGACTCGTTTGATGAGCATAGAGTTTCAGTTTTGTGAGATGAAAAAGTGTTAGAGATGTGTTGCACGACAATGTGCATACAGTTAACACTATTGTACTGTATACTTAAAAATGGTCAAGATGGTAAATTTTATGTTATATGCTTTTTACCACAATAAAAAAAGACAAACCCTTAGAACAGGAAAAAAGAAAAAAAAACTATTAATACATACAAAAACCTGAAAAATCTGCGTAAAAAAAGCCAATCCAAGAAGGTAACATATTCTATGATTCCATTACTTTAACATTCTTGCATTAACAAAAGTATAGAATTGAAGAGCAGATGACTCGGTTGCCAGGGGTTAGGGAGGCTATGGGGATAGGAATGAAGAGGGTGTGGCTGTAAAAGGGCAACGTCAGGGACCCTTGTGGAGATGGAAATGCTCTGTCTTGACTGTATGCATGTCAATATTCTGGTTTTGATACTATTACGCTACAGTTTCAAGATGTTACCATTGACAGAAACTGGGTAAAGGAAAGTATGAGATCTCTCTGTATTATTTCCTAAAACTGCATATGAGTCTACAATTATCTCAAAATAAAGTTTAATTAATTTTAAGATATCTTTTCTCCAAATGGTGGAAGTTAAGTGCTAACTGGAAATAATGAAGAGGAGATTTTAGTATCTGTTTTTTATGTATGTGGGGATAAAGGAGGTAGGCTAACTCAGAAAAATTGTCCATATCTCATATCTCAAGAAATGAGAACCCGGGTCTGAGATGCCCCAGCCTTGTTATCCCAATGTTCACCAAAAATAAATTCATTTCTGGGAAACCCTATGTAATCATTTTTAGAAGAGGAGCCTGGCTTGAATGTTCCCTAAATTTTAGTCTTCAGAGGCCTAGATGTTGGTCCTGTGATAAGAAGCCAGAGCAGTAAATAAGGGCACCAGGAGAAGAGAGAGGCACACCCAGACACTATAGCCAGTTCTCTGTGGGCTGCAAGGCAAGCTCGAGGGACAAACAGCCACCTCCATGATAGAGGTTTTCTTCTGATCCAGCTCTGAACGAGTCTGGATTAATATAATCCCTCTGATATCATTTGAATAGAGAACAATACATCCCTTTATCTCCACTGCACTTGCTTAGAAATATGCCTCATTCTGGGGAGAATACCTGAGAACACAATTTGGAAGAGCTAGTATCTTGGGACTACTGTGTTGATTACGGGAGCTCAACCAATTATACCATGAAGAGCCCATCACTCCACCAGGAAGTCAATTAACTAAACTGGCTGCCTGAACTTAAGCTATGATGCTGGGAAAAAAGTTTAAGTTGTAGCAAAATCTTCTCCATAACATTTGTCTACAAGCTTCCACCCTTCTGGAGTCCCTAATACTCAGAAGTGATGGGGATGGAGTTCCTCCTGGGCAGTGAAATCAGTAATGACTAGCATTTACTGAGCACCTGCCAGGGGCCAGGCACCATGCTGAGTGCTTTTTACACATCGCACTGCATTCTCTCAACAACCTGGTGGTGAGGTAGTTAGTATTAGCTCTACCTTAGAGATCAGGAGACTGAGTTTCAGAGAAAATTACATGGTTTGCCCAAAGTCACACAGCCAGTAAGAGAGCTGGAATTCAAGGCTCAGGTCCCTGTATCTACAAAGCCTTAGGAAGTATCAGGCAGCATCATATTAATAATGAAATCCAGCCTCTGAATTACCAGATTTTGACCAGAGCCTCTAAATTCAATTGAAAGAGGACAGAGGGAAGGTGCTAGCTTTCTGCTGAACTGAGCAACATTTCCTTCACCCACCTGGTACACAGTAGGCACTCAGTAAATGACTGTTAAATTGAACTGACCTAGAGAAAAAGGCTGCTGCCGACCTCCTCCTTGGCTGTTTGCATGTTCTGGGAGGAGGGGAGGCAGAGTAACCACCTCTCCTGCCCTCCCAGGTGGCAGCACTGACTCTGTTCTGGTCTGACTGGGACACAGCTCTGTGAAGACCCACAAAACAGACAGCCCTACACACACCACAATGCTCTGAAATGCATGGGACAAAGAAACCCAGGGCGAGCCCCAGGGAATGTGTGATGACCTCAGATGCAAAGTATGTAGTGAGCCAATTCTGGAACCTTGGTGAATTTCACAGACTAAACAGTGGGGGTGAAGGAGCACTTGGGACTTGTGCTGACTGAGCCAGCAAGGTTACCCATGACTACTGGGTTCACAGGAGAATCTTTCTTTGCTGAGAATATACTGGGAATAGACCAGCAAAAAAAAATAGACCCCCACAAAAGGCAGCATGGCCGGTTTGGCAGCTCCCTTGCCTTGGCCTGCTGGTATTCCTACTGTTTTTGGATTCATCCTCATAGAATTTGGGATGAAGCAGAAGCGGGGCCCTCTCTGCTGAGAAAATATGCAAGGAGACTTTTGATAAAAACTCAGAGGCCACTGCAGCCAAAGAGTCTGTGACAGGAGGGGACAGGGGCTGGAGGAAAGGCTTGAATAGTCTCCAGACAGTTTCAGACTTCACTGTTTCAGACTGTGGGGGAGGAAGCAAGCAAAGAGCATGAGAGAAGAAGAAAGAAGACATTAATGAAGGAAGAATAGCCAAGGCCACACTAAAAATACTTCCCAGGCACATATTTCTCCCAATGCATAGCAGCTCTCTCAATTAAGGATGTGTCATTTCCTGGGTTATTAAATCCAGATCACAGAACATTCCACTCCAGGACAGTAAGAGAGGGTCACGTTCTCAGCCTCCCCCAGCACCAAAGCAGCAAAAAACAAGGATCCCAGCCTTTTGTGTTTCCACCACTCCCCACTGAGCTGCTTGGAAGCTTCCCTTCAGGATGTGTCTGTGGAAAGCTTGGGGGGCTAGCACGGTGCTCTTTCTCAGATACCTAAAACACACCCACAGTCACCTTTAACAGCACCATCATCTCAAACCAGTAAGGCCCTGCAGCAACCAGAATTTGGGGGAAGAAGTGTAGTGGCCACTTTGCTTTCGTTAATGTGGTAAGAGCCAGTAAACTTTAATATCTCCTAGGGCTGGCCCGTGGCTCACTTGGGAGAGCGTGGTACTGACAACACCTAGTAAAAGGTTAAGATCCCCTTATCGGTCATCTTTAAAAAAAAAAACTTCTAAAGCCAGAGTCACACAGCAAAAAATGTGCCCTATTAAACTCCAAGAAATTTAAAAAGAAATCAGTGTCTTCTTGATACTGAGCACAGGGATCTCCATGCAGTGGGTACCCAATAACGTCTGTCTTTCTTTTGTTGGGGAAGGGGAGACGATATGCGTGACAAAGCCAATGAGCCCTTGAGAAAGGCTCCTACAATGGTCCTTTCCAAACATTTAAGAAATTTGGAACCTGTGGTATCTTAACTCTCCTAACCTGCATTTGAAGCAATCGGTTTACAATTTAATTACTCTATGAGTTGGGCAGAATCTTGTTAACTGTGAATTGGGGAGAAGTTGAATGGCAAAGTGGGCTTCAGAGTTAATACCAGAATTGAGGATTCCAAATGGGAAAGATCCTCAGAGTTCAGACAAGTTTGGACCACACGGTGTTTTCCAACAAAATTTGAATGTCACCAATATTTAAAAATCAGAAAATTTCAGATAAAAAGAGACCTTCCTGCTTCTGTTTTAATAAACATAATCGGCATAAATGGGAATCAGAGACCTGCATGCAGCTCTGGACAGAGCTGAGGAGCACTGCCCCCTCTGGATGAAGCATGTGCTGTCCAGCTGCCACCAGCCACTCTGCATCCCCGCAGAGGCCCGCCTTTGTTTCCTTATCCAGTCTGCCACCTTTGGGCATTTGAGGTGGCAACTTCCAACCTAGTCCATCCCCTTTTCACCCAGAGAACTGGTCCTTCCAACTCTTAATCTCTATCCTCTAACCCAATTCCTTTGCCACAGGCCACTGGTATTCCCAGTGTTTCTGGATTCATCCTTAAAGAGTTTAGGATGGAACAGACACTGGGCCCCCTCTGCTGGGAAGGTCCAAGAGACTTTTGATTAAGACTCAAAGGCAGCTGCAGCCAAACAGTGTGTGACAGAAGGGGACATGACTCACCGCTCCCCAGCAAGACGTTCCCTCCTCTGCCCTTTCCACCTGCAGCCTCCCCTCATACCCAGTTAAGCCCGCCTCTGTCTCCAGATCAGAACCTATCCCTACAGACAAGCATTTATAGCCTTGTGAACGTCTCTTCATTCTACGATTTATGGTCCACACTGGAGGAGAAGCAAGCACTACTTCAACAAAACTGTTCATCATGAAATAATTCTCCTCTGCTCAGATCAGATGGTGAACGCAAACACAAACTGCACTCGATTCTCTCAAATACTCCCCAACCAGAAACACCAAAGAACTTCTCAGAAGCAACAGGACTGTCAAGGAGGGGCTATGGTCAATTAGGAGATGATAATGACCACAGAGACCAGGACAATGATAACAACAGTTCCAGAGGGTTAAATGACTTGTTAATGCCAGATACGGTACTGGGCATGTCACGTTACACACTACTTCTTATTTTTACAACAACCCTACATGGCAGGAGGTACTGTCCCCTTTTTATAGATATGGAAAATGAATACAGAAAGTACTCTGCTGATGCAGACATTTTGCTCCCTGGGATAGTAGCTCAACCTTCTTTCACCTGCCTGAACAAAACTGGTTCTGGTATTAAAACCCTTGTCCAGGACTGGCCTAGAGGAGATCTCACTGGCCTACTTACGGTCTGCCATTCGCCTCCTCCATGCTGGCTGCAGTTTTTGATTCCAAGGCGTTGTTGAAGTTAGAGATGTTTTCAGAAGAATAGAGGCCAGCTGGGTTGTTGTACTGGTTCGTGATGACTCGGGGGGCAGTGCTGGAGGCAGGCGAGGCAGTGAAGGGCATGGCACTTCGGTTGTGGGCGCTTCCTATGTGCAGGACCTCCTGCAAGCAGGGATCAGGGAAGAAATCAAGGGGGTATCCAACGTGCACTCCACGATGGGTGGTGCAGGCTGAGTGCCAGGGAGAAGTGTTCCAGCTGAGCTACAATGGCCCTGGTCCAACACCAAACTAGCTGAGGCACTATGACCGACACACTGAGACACATGGGCAACCATGGGGAAGTCTCACAGGATAGACACCTGTGCAGGCTCACACCTTCTGAACCAGCCCTGCCTTCTGATTCTTCCCTGAGGCCCAGCAAAGCCTCATCTCCTCTGGGTGCCTCTGGGCAGGACCCACCTTGATGCCTTGGGCTGTCAGAGCTGAAACCCCCTTTCAGGACACATTCCAGAGGGATTAAGGTATCAGGCGGAGGGGAACATGCCGACACTGCAGTCAGTGCAGAGCAGGAGATGATAAAAGGTGGAGATAAATTCCCCAGAAGTGAGCAAGTTAGACCAGCAAGATAAGAGGGTTGTGGAGCCATGGAGGAAGCAGCTGCTCACTAGGCAGAGACTGTCTCAGTCCTCAGAAGGAGGGTAAAGGGAATTAAGATCTATTGTTTCTTGTGGGAGAAAGATTAGCTAATTAGATAGAAGGTCAGAGGATACCTGCAATGGGGGCAGTACCCAGAGGAACTGCAGAAAAGGACTTTGAGTTTCTCGCGTTGTCATTCCCCTCTTGCTGTAATTTGAGGAAGCACGCTCCACCCCCACCCTGGACCTGCCAGGAGCCTGGTGAATAACTACTCCAGGTACAATATCTCAGAGATTCTTTACAAACACCCCCAAACACTTTTTTTTTTTCCTTTTTGTCTTTTTTCGTGTCCAGCAACGGATCGCAACCCTCAGTGTTGCGCCCGTACCGGACCGGGACCGGCCACGGGATCGCAACCCTCGGTGTTGCTCCCGCACCTCGCTCAGCCAGTGAGCGGGAACCGGTCTGTACGTGGGATCCGAACCCTCGGCGGGAGCGCCACCACATGCACTCTCAAGCGGCGCACTATAGCAGTGCGCCACCGGGCCGGCCCAACACTTTTTAAACTAACATTCCTTTTTTAAAAAATCACTACTTTCATGATGACTCAATTAGCAAAGTGCTTTCTGCATGAGTGTTTTGGACCAACCCATGGCATCCAGGCAACACATGCTCTGTGCAGCCTGCTAACCTCAATATGGGTTGTATGTTCTGGGTTCCTCAGAAAATCTTCCTGAACCCTGGTCTCTTTCTTACACCCAGGCCCAGAATAGCTGCCCCCAAAAGAGCTCCTGTCCTCTGTTGCTCTAATATTTTTCTCTTTTTGTTAATGCTTCGAGTCTTTCATGCTTTCTTAGAATATATTATGCATGAAAATAGCTTAATCCATTGTGTACCTAATTAAAAATAAAATACAACATGGAAATATTATTATAATTAAGATTTCTTTTTCACTCTTCAGACAGGCTTCCTCTTTAACATGTCAGAATCAGTGAGGTTTTGGGCCGGCCCGTGGCTCGATCAGTGAGGTTTTACTGTATAAATTACATTTAGTTGACATCATCTGCATTAGAAAAAAGCTAAGTTTGCACAGATAATCACAAAAGGAGAAGTATAACTAGTTAAGAAAAAAGTTTCAGGAGTAATCAAAGAATAGTTAAGTAAATTTTATGACACAATTACTCAAAGGAATCATATGTAGTTATTAAAGGCTGTGGACATAAAGAGTGCAACAGAATTACAGACAGGCAGCCTGAGACTCCCACCCACATATACTATAGCACTATGGGCAGACACATGGCTGCAGGCAGGACAGCCACCTTTCTTTCTCTGTCATCTCCACAGCAATGCCTAGGAGCAGCACAGGATGCTGAGCACCCCAGAAGAGCCCTTTTTATCCTGTATTGGCTAAATTTTTCTCTGTTACTTCCTGTTTGGCCATGGGCAAGTTATACCTCTCTGAGCCCATTTCTCATCTTTAAAATGAAGAAAACAAAGCCTTCATAGGATTTAGTGTGACATATTAGCGCAGCAAGCACAGTGCGTGGCACATGGCAGATACTCAACCAGGGTCCATTCCCTTCTCCCTCCATAGAAACACATTTCCAATTAGAACGGAAGTCAATGGAAACTTCGGCAGGAAATTCTGATTTTCACTTTACAGAGAATCTTTCAACATATCTGGTTTGCACATAAAAGGAATATCTCTACCCTCATATGAATACTGGTCTTTCTAGAAGGCAGGCAGATTCGGGGCTTGCCTTTTGGAAAGGATGATGTAATTGTTTGGGCTTTGTATTTATCAGTCTCCAAGGAAACTCAATAATGAGGAAACAAACTAGGTGTGTAACTATGCTGACCTCAGATAAGCTGGGGTGTTGGTTTGTATTACACGAACTAACAGATCTTTTTATTATAGATGAACTCTGCTCTTATTCTTTCATCCTCTACTTTAGAATGACTGGAAGTGGAAGATTTGGGGAAAATCAGGGCTGGGAAGTTTTTCATATGAATAAAGAATTACTGGAATCAAAAAATGTATGTACTCAAGTTAGATTTTAAAGTACTTGAAGATCCTTTTAATCTGAAGAGAACTACCTTCAAAAGATTAATACAGGTAACTAAATTACAGGTTTAAAATAAAAATTCAAGCATAATACAAATAAAAAATATAACTGAAATTTAAATGACTACCTTAATTATGTGAAAACCAGAATTTCAGACAGACCAAATTAAAACAAAATAATTCTTTATGTGTTATAAAATATATGAAAACCTAACATTAAAATTTAACATATATAGTAAATTTAATGAAGTGGCTGAGCACTCCCAGGGAAACTGATTTTAATTGTGGCATGTTTTAAATTAGTTTGCACAACTGCCAGTTTATAGACTGAGTGCCATTTTATGAACTCTCCTTACAAGAGTTTAACAGAATATGTTCATGTCAGTTTTGAAATGGCAGGTGCAAAATTATCCTTTAAGTGACTTTTGGGATTTTTAAGTATGATTTTGATCATATTAGTGGAAAAAATTCTGTGTGATTACATTTCTTAAATTTTAATGGTAGCCATTTGAGAAAATATGGCTTATATCCAACCACTCAATTTACACAAATTAATATACCATGTGAGTTCAATTTCTGTTATATGTATAAAAAATAGTAGCTATATGTTATCTCAATTACATCTCAATTCACCATAAAAACTGAAGTGTCCCAAATTCAGAAAAAAAATTAAATTTCAAATCTTCCACTGGGGCTAAATGTATAATAATCACAACCCAGTCTAAAATTTCCAAAAGCCATTTTCAATTTACTTATCAATTTATCATTAATAAGTCATTCATTTAACCAACAGATACATACTTTGTGAAACGTAGCATGTTAGGCATGAAGATATTTACAAAGATGTTATAAACATTTTTTTCTCTTCTTTCAAAAATATTCATTCATTGTAGATCATTTAGAAGGTGCAAAAAAGGAAGAAATAAAATCACCCATAATCTAATTACTGAGAGATTTATTTACAAATATGGGATCTTAAGAGAGTAGACTATTAATAAGTTCATATTAATTTCCACTTTATTTTAGTAATTTTGAAGTCTCACTGTAACAAAAATAGAGATTCCCACCCCAGGGCTCATGAAAATGAGATAGGGGTATAGAGGTGGGGAAAGCAGAGCTTACTATTAAATTTCCCCTTATTTCTTCTAGGCTCTAGGCCTCGGGACCTAAACTTATTTTCATCCTTGGCATGATTCATCTGCATCTGAAACCCATAATAAGCGCAGTCAGCTCTTTGTTTTTACTATGGTCCTGCCAACCCTATTTCTCACAGGAAGGCTTCCACCCGCTTCCCTTATCGCCTTCCTATCCCCTACTTCCAGCCTGGGCCTCAGCATCACTGCCCTGGGGTTTTCCAGCTTTTTCCTCCACATTTCCCTTACGGGAAGAACTGAACAAGAGCCAGAGCCCAGCAGTGACAGTGGAAGCCTCCAGGGCGGGAACAACAGGAACGTGCTGAGGGGCGGCAGAGGGCTTTCCGGGGCTGGGTGCTGAGGAGTGGCAAGGATGAACAAATACTTACTTGGGGTTCAGAGGCTAAATTCATTTTGTATGGATGACGCTTGCCTTCCTCCACAACCAGAGGAGACCAGATTTTATGTTCAGATCTGCAACAGATTAACAAAACTGTTATTTCATTCATGCTAAGTAAATAATATATACTAAAAACAGATTGGAAAAATGTCCCGTCTTGCCTAGACTACTAGCCTCTGAACTAGCACCGTGCTTTACCCTCCATTTGCAACCAGTGTGATCTTTCAAAAATCCCAATCTGATGGTGTCCATGTTGGATGGCTTCCCAAGCTGCCCTGGCTTCATCCAGCCTCATCCTCACTCTGGATACTTAACACCAGCCATATGGCCTCCTCCATGTTCCTGAGGGTGCCACATGTTGTCCCATCTCTGTTCAAGATGCAACAGGCTTCTCCTCTATCTCGGCCCAGTGTTCTTGGCCCAGACCAAACAACCAGCTTATCCATGAAGCTTGCCTTGCCCAAATGAAAGTGATGCCTCCTTTTCTGAGCTTGCAAAGGATTTTCTTTGTACCAATCACACAGCAATGACTTAGTATAGTCTCAGTTTTCATTAGGGTAGCTTTTTCCTCTTTCGCAGGTAGAGAATATTCATACTTATCTTTGTTATTTGTCAGAGTGCCTAGCACAGTGCCAGACATATACAAAATGTACCTGTTCAATTTATTGGTAAGTGAATCAAAAATCAGTGAATGAATGAATGTCTTGATTGAGCTTGAAGGAGACGATTTGGGCTGAGATAGAAACAGAGATGAGAATGAGAGGTAAATGTGCTTTTGAGGGGGTAGTAATAAAATAGTGCACCTCCCAGTAGGTAGGGCTCTGAAGTGCATATAGTATTTTGACGTGTTCTCCGATACTTGGTTCTCCTGCCAATCCTGTGTCACAAGGTAGGAGAAAGTGATAAACCTACTTCAGAAATGGGAACTTGAGTAAAGGGTTTGTGACGAAGAGCTGTGGAAGTTAACGTTAGTGAGACATTAAAGGGCAGGTTCACAGATGATCAGAACGAAGAATCTGAACTTGATCTGACAGGAAACAGGGAGCCATTGAAGACTGAACCAAATCACTCTTGAAATTATTCCCTTGCAGTACCCCTTCCAAGACTACACAAAGGAATAATGGAAATTCTACCCTAATTACACCTCCCAGGCCACTCTCTTCCCTCTTCCATTCAACCCCAGCTCTCCTCTCTTGTAGTGTACTTAAAGTTATACTCAGCACTTTGCCTAACGTGCTGAAGTCTTTCTCAGTTATTGTATTCTCCTGGCATGAGGCCCACTGCTCAGAATAGTGCGGTGGGAGCAGCATCCGAAGCAGATTCTCAGTGGTTCCCAGGAAGAACTTTTCATTAAATTTTACTGGATAATACTGAACAGATTTTACTTCCTTGAAATTTTGGTTAATTGTGCTGGATCCAGTGAAAATGTAGATATCTGAGAGAAAGAAGCTCACACTACAAGAAAGCACTGAGAAAATTAGACAGGAAAATAAGTAACCTGAAATTCCAATAGCACAGACCTTTTGGTATGGCACTGAGCTGGGGGTGGGATTCTAAGATAGGGAAGGCAGTCCCGCCCACAAGCACCTTCTCCCGGATCAGAAATGAACAGACATTTCCATGGGCCTCACCTGGTGACCGTGAGAGTCATGTTGTCTGTGCAGCCCTTAATTTTGTTCTGAGCCTCCAGGTGTGTCATACTGCTAGTATTTTCCCCATCAATGGCTGTGATTACATCTCCAATACATAAATTAGCTAAAGCAGCCTTGCTTCCAGGAGTGACCTAGAAAAAACGGGGAGAGCAGGCTAGTTACTATTTGCATCCAAGGAAACCACTGAGTAAGTTACCACCAGGTTAAGTATTCACTGATATGGATCATACCATTTAAAAAGGAAAGAGGGCTGAAATCATAAGTTTATATAATAATCCTTCATATCTGTGTAATACATTATCGTTTACAACGAGTCCTTGTCTATGTATGATCTTACTGGATCTTTACAACAACCTCGTGAGAAAGGAGAGCAAACATCAGTCCCCATTTTAGGGACCAGGAAACTGAAGCTTAGATCTGTGACTTACCCAGGAGCACACAACTAGTATATTATTATATTACTAGTCATCCAACTAGTATATCACAGAGCCAAGACACTAATCCTGGACCAGACCTAGTGTTCTTCCCACTGAATCTTGCTGCTAAAATAAGTCATCAATTACATTAAAAAAAAAAAAATACACACACATTTAGAGAACAATATGTACAATAACATCCTATTTCTATAAAAACCTTAATAATTAATATGTCATATGCACAGAAGAAAACTGGAACACTGCACACTAAATTGTTCATAGTTATACATTTCTGTAGTGTATTTGCTTTTTACAGTGAGCTTGAATTACTTTTGTAATCAAAAAATGCAATAAAGAATATTTTAAAGCATAGTAGTATGGTTGCAAATTTACACACCACCGATGCTCGGGGGGAAGCCAGTCAATTACTGCAACGGGTTCCCAAATCATCTGTCTACTGAGCATTACATGTGGGCTGGATAAATAGCATGTCTCCCACACAGATGTTCAAATATTTTTCAAGTGAATACAAATGCTGTTACAATGAAGTGCAAACTCATTTTGAAGTAGTACTAACCTCAGAGTAACTTTTTGCTATTAGGTATTTTCTAAATTAAGGTATGCTAACAATACTTCTATCACCATCCCAGGGTAAGCTCATGACTTTTTTCCACATTAAAAGACCTTCCTGGATGGGAATTCTAAGCCCACCAGGAGCAGGATGGTGCTAACACCCCCAGACTCCCAGTGTCCACAGGGCTCTGGCCTCCCCCAGAAGGCCCATGACTCCTTGGCTCTAATTGAGTAAGATCTTGTGAACACCTGTGTATCTCCATAAGTCTGAACTACAGGTAAGAGGTCCTTCAAGGCACCAAACCAGGACATGTGAGTTAGGCCCTAAGCCTCCATATCTGATGCAGTTTTCAGCAGCCAGTTTCCAATCAGCCCTCACCAAACTGAAAACACAAACCCTTACAGGGTGGCTGGGGTTGGTGCCGCTGTCATGGCCCACTGCCCCCCATCAGCACCGACCCCATAAGATGAGTGATGGATGAGTTGATCCTTGAGGTCTCTTCCAGCTTGAACATACTATGACTTTATCATGCAAAACTCTCCAGGAATGTGGCAGGATGTGGAAACCAGTACAAAGATCCTGACCTCCTAACCTTCCTTTCTGGCTTTCCCATCATCTGTTTACCAGAGATCTAGCTTTTAGAAAATGAAAATCCCCAATCCAAGGTTCAGACCTTCTTCTCATCCAGCCACTGGGACAAGACATTTTATACGGGCAAGCACAGGCTGCTCTCGTTTCGGTCAACACTGGGGAGTTGGCCTCTGAGTCACCCAGCACACGGAGTAAAACAAATTCCTCTTGTTTTCCAATCCATCTTCTCAAGAAGGCTGATCTGCTGTGTGTTCACATATATTTCGCTTTTTCTAAGGGACAATGCAGGCTCATTTTTTTTAATGGCATTATTATATTTGGGATTGACAATGGTGCTAGATTAGCAAACTCTAAAGAGAGCAGCCTGAATCAAGGAGGATAATGTCCAATCGAACTCATTTCTCATGACCAGTGTTAAAGAGCAGTCCCCATAGGACAAAATACATAATCTTTAACAAGGCCCCTAAAGCCAGTGCCTCCCTCCCCACCCTCATCATGCCACTTCTCCTAAGCTCTAGCTATAGAGCCTCCCTTAGTTCATTTCCACCTCAGGACCTTAGCACCTGCTTTTACCTGATTAACTTCTCATCTTTCAAATCTCAGTTTAAATGACCCGTCTCAGAGAGGTGCTCCCTGACCTTCGATCTAAGCTATATCTCCCTGTCATTCTTTTAATACACTCTGTTCTTCTTCATGGCACTGGTCACATTATGTTTGTAAATATATTTTGTAGATTTACTTGTTTAATGTCTAAAGGCCTACTAAATGGTAAGGTGTGTGAAGGCAGGATTTTGTCTGTCTTTGGTGCCATGGTATCCCCAGTGACTGGCACAGTGACTGGCACATAGCGGGGGCGCAATAAAAATATGTCAAATGACTGATTGAATCTAAACTATCTAGCATTGTTAAACATGTAAACAGGTTGCTTCATTTTATCCTTTATAATTAATAATTCAAAAATATCAAAAATATTTTTATTTTAAAAATCAAATAATGATTTCCCTCAACATCATTACCCTGTAACATGACCATTCACAAAACTCAAACAATGAGATTAGGGCGGTTGGGGGTTGAGAAGATAAAATAGAAGTTTCTTTTAACTTTCTCATGTTCAACTGCTAAGAAGTTTGGAATTGCCAGCATTTGATTCAAACTGTCTTGTGGGAGAGGCAGTTCTGCTAAGTATATCCCAACATGTCCTAGACACGCTAGAACCAGCCTTAAGACCCGAAGTAATTGAGGCCCAGCCAGCCTATCTTTCATTTTTATTTCTTTCGTTTTTTCTTTTCTTTTTTTTTTTTAGCCGAGCTGATGGGAAGCCAACGGAAATCCCAGAAAGTCAGAAGACATCTGCTAGAACCAGTCTTAAGACCCGAAGTAATTGAGGCCCAGCCAGCCTATCTTTCATTTTTATTTCTTTCATTTTTTCTTTTCTTTTTTTTTTTTTAGCCGAGCTGATGGGAAGCCAACGGAAATCCCAGAAAGTCAGAAGACATCATCATCAGATGGGACTTGGATGGAATCACACATAAACAGATTAAGTTCACATTCTTTTATGAACCATCTCTTTTTGGAAAAAAAAAAAAAGAATTTAAACAAATTATGGGATTTGACTTTGACAAAGCCCTCTCACATACAATCTCCTATTTGAGATAATAATAAGGATGACCTCACCGCCAACATATTAGATAAATTTACAGATGAGGAAATTGAGTCTCAGTGAAGTTGTGACTGGTTCAAGTTCACAAAGCTAAGGGCTTGGGCCTGAACTTGAAACCAGATCCCCTCATTCCAAATTCCGCTTTTTTTTTTTTAAGCACACCACCACAATCAGAGGCTCCAAACTCAACTGTTGGAGCCAATGAGAAATACAGAATTAAGGAGACTCGTCTGCCATTGTCTTCTACACAAGGAACTGGAGTGTCACAAACTCCAGCTGCTGGCTGGGTGACTCCCTGCCATAGGACACTCATGCCACAGCTCTGTACTAAATTGGGGCTCAGTAAACCCACCCCTTATAAAATACACAAATCATAACACAGAACTGAAAAGAGCAACACAAGAGAAGAACTGTACTTCCAACATTAGGTCGTTCCTGTCTTGAATGGTTGATTCCAATACTTGCCACACACCAACTATTCACCATAATCATAATCATAATCATAAAAACGGATATAAGTTAATGAGTGTTTATTATGTGCCAAGCCCAATCTAAGTGTTTAGCAAGGGTTAATTTACCAATCTTCGTGTAATGCTTTCAGGTAGGCAATGTTATTTGCATCATTACAGATGAGGAAATGGAGGAAGAGGAATTAAGTAGTTTGCCTGAGTTCACACAGCTGGTGAGCAGCAGGCCATGGCAGGCTCCAGTCTGTCTACTTAACTCACTAGACCACACTGTCTATTTGCATTTCCTACTGACCATCAAATTCCATCAGAATAAGTTTATAATGGAGTCAGCTTCAATTTCTTAAAAAGAAAAAAAAAATCCCATACTCATCTCCAAAGAAACAGGCTTGTTCATTCAGTAGACATCCCCAAAAATCCTTCTGCCAACTTTCTTCTCCAGAGACCATAAAATTAGATCACACAACTCTTGCTGCAAGAATAAATGGGCTTAGGCATGACGATTTCTACTAATGAACAATTGCCATTTTCTGCAGAATTCACTCATGTCTCTTTCACCTTTCGTCCCACTCCCATCCCCTGGCTGGCACCACTTGTTTGGAGGCCAACCTGTATAACCACTCTACACTACAAGCTCATAATGCAGCGTAAAAACCTTTTAAACCTGTGCACTGCTGCCAGAGTCCTGAGCACATAAGATTTTTGATGGATTTAATTCCACTTCTAAATGGTGCAAACTAGGACTATGATGTAGCTCTCCCACTTTTCTTCAACTTACATCTAAATAACTAAACAGCTAAATGATATTGCTGTTACACAGAGCTGGATGCATACCCACTGGCTATGACAAAAAGATAAAACCCTCCTCCTCCGTGATAATGGCATGTTTCTATTTCATCCCTCCCGTTCCCGCTCTCTCTCTCTCGTTCATTCACTCATCAGGCATCCTCAGGTACATTCTGAAAGGCAGAGTAACTTGTTGGTTAAGATGTGGCTTCTGGAGTCAGATGGTCAGGGTTCAAGTCCTATCTCTGTAACTAGTGAGCTAAGTGTATTCGCGTGAGATATGTTACCTCTACATGCCTCACTCTTCTCATCTACACAACAGGTATGAAAATAACAGTCCTGACATCAGAAGGTTGTTGTAAGGATTACAGGAGACCCTTCAGTCAAAGCACACTGTCAGAGCTCTAAAAATGTGAGTTATTGTTTGTAGATTCCAAGAACCACACAAGGCACTGGAATACAGCTGTGAAAATGACGGTGCCTGCCATCAACAGGCATGAACAACAGCTGAAGAGTGTTGTGCTAGAAGCAACAAGGCAACAGGACCTAAAGGTGGAATCAGGAAAGACTTCCTGGAGGAGGTGCTGATCGAAATTGTGCAAAGCCACAATTTCAAGTTACAGGAACAGTATGTGGACTAGATGGATGAAATACAGGAAGTA